AAGCTCTTATCAGCAAACCCGAGCTGCTGCTGCTGCTGCTGCTGATTCACCCAAGACAGACAAGTGGGATCACCCAGGCAGTGGTGGAGAAGGCTCCCAGCAGAATCCAGAGGACTGGAAAAGCAGCTGGAAGCTTTACAGAACCTTTCAGAAGGAGAAAAGTCTTGCTGTAAATTTGGGCTTCCAAAGGTGGTCACATGGAGCAAAAAGTGGCTCCACTTTTTGTGGCTCCACCTTGCTCTGGATGCAAGGTTTCTCTTGAAAAGACTAATATTTTTGTGTTGAGTCTTGAGATTTTTTAGTGAATACCACATACTCAGAGCAACAATGTGGAGAATTATGGAATCATTTAGGTTGGAAAAGCCTAAATCACCCAATTCCCCCAGCACTGCCAAAGCCACCACAAACCCATGTCCCCAAGTGGCTTTGAAATCCCTCCAGGGATGGAGACTCCATCGCTTCCCTGGGCTTGACAATCTTTTTGGTGAAGAACTTTTCACCTGTATCCAATCACAACTTCCCCAATCACAACTTGGGGTTTTTCCTCTCGTCCTGTCCCTTGTGACCTGGGAGATGAGACCAGGATGAGTCAAATCCCCCATCCCTGCATCCACGTGTTCCCAGCCAAACTGATGCCAACCCCATCAATGCCTTCACTCTCTGCAGGCAAAGGGGTGAAATTCTTGCTGCTGAACAAGCAGAAATGTGGGAAATGTCCAGGACACACGGGGATATGACTGTGGCTGTAATTCCATGGCCAGGGAGTCATCCTGCTCTCACTGCTGGAGAAGGGGAGCCGTGTCCCAAGGCAGGATGGCTGTGATGGGCAGCAGGGATTTAAAAGTGCCAATTAAAAGTTTCAGAGAGCTGCCCCAGCTGAGACAGCTTCTGGTGTAGCTGCTGTTTCAGGAGGTGGTTTGCTTTGTTGCTGTTTTGTTAGCTGTAACCTACTGTGGTTCACCATTTCCCCCTCAAGTTCTAATTTGAAGGAAAAATTCAGTTTCTTTTTGGTGAAGCGAGGCAGTCTAAGCCTCGAGCCTCATCTGAGTCACAGGAGTCAGAGGCTCCATCCTGTGCCAGGACCAGCTTTAAGGATTAACCCCAGTGGCTGCAGAAAGTCCCCAGCAAAAACTGCTTTGGCTCAAATCCATGAGATCGGGCTCTTGTAACAACCAAGTGCTGACAAATGGTAACTCCCAAACCAAATCCTCCCTGTGCCCTTTTCTGTGCCTTTCCCCTGCCATGTGATCTGTGTTTTAAGCAGGATAATGCTTGCTCAGGCCATTCTGGTTTGCACAGAGAAGAAAAGGGGTGGAGGATGAGCAGATTTCCTAAGGACACCCCTCCAGCACATCCCTCCCATCTGTACAAGGTTTGGACAATCCATGTACTCCAAGGCATGATGACAGCACTTGCCTCTGAAAGAGCAGCAGTTCTGATTTCCAGAATTCATGAATCCAAAGGATTCCAGCACACCCAGCCTCTCCTGCCTCAGTTTCCCCTTTTTCCTCCCTCTGAGGGCTGCAGCTCCTCCCCAGCCTGTCCCGAGCCAGTTTGCCCAGAGCTGGCAATGCATCCAATGCATGCTGACAGAAAGGAGTTTTGGGGCTGGATTCAACCAAAAGAAACCCCAGAAAATTATCTTTGCATTTCAAGGAGCACAGATTTGCAGCTTAAAGAAATCTAAATCTCTCTGGAAAGTATTTACCAAGGAAAACTTACCCACAGTAATCCATCCTTTGAGTGTTAGAACAGCTTGAAACTAAAAGTTTGCAGAGCTCAAGGAGGGGAAGAGGGATGAAGCCGGCAAAAGATCATTAAGAAGATATTTTAAAATGTTTTTCCAGGATTTGATTTTTATTTCCATGCTTGGATTAAGCTCTTCAGCTGGTGAGGAAAGAACAGGAGAAGTCACTCTCAGGATCTGTGAGGAAAAAAAGGGCTCTTTCTGTAGGTTCAAAATGTTCCTTGGATTTTGAGGCTCAGAGTTTTCCGAGAGCACTTCTTCCAAAGGACTTTCCAAGAACACACAGTGAACTGCAAAACAATCTCACAGAGAACTACAAAATTCCTGTTGGAGAGATAGAAAAGTTATTTTCTATCCACACAGGCAGAACCAGAATATTGAAGTTTGACATTTCAATAAATGTATTTGTTTTGGCCTGTTTTGACACAATATGAAGGACTGAGAATACTGAGATTCTAGAGCCCAATGCAAGGCAGCACCTCTGTAATTGTCTGCTCCATATTCCATTTGTCAGTTTATAAATGGAGCCACTAGAGTAATCTCTGCTTCATTGACAGGCTGGAGATCGCCAGATTTTCAATTTCCCTTCAATAAAACAAAACAAAAAACCCCAAGGAGAACACTTTAGCTTTTTAATCATACCCAGACCTGTTTCCTGTAATGAAGAACTTCTTTTCCAATCCCAAGAGAACAATTCTTTGAATGTCACCTTCATAGTGAAATAAAAATCTCTGCTATTTGCAGGAAAAGGCTCTGACTGCCATTTGTGGCTTGGACCACTTCCCAATTTATTTACTTGCTGAGGCTGTTTACATTTTCAGGCAGCCCAGCTCACTCATCCCTAACCAGCTCAGTTTATTGCTGCAAGAAACACAGCCCTGTGCCAGCCACAGGAGAGACTTCGGACCTAAGGACACCAAAAGGCTTTTGGATCAAGACACCTGAGCAAAAAAAAACAAAAAAAAGGGTGGAAAAGAAAAAAAAAAAAATTCCCATTTTGGGTTGAATTCCATCACTGAGCAGCAGCAGGAGCCACGGATGGTGCAAGCCCTTCATTAGGGCTGACCCTGACACTGCTTTTCATTCCTGGAGATCAGCATGGAGAGGGGAGATGAGGGAGAAGGACATCCTTAATTTGTCTGAAGAGCAGCTGCTTTTCTTCTTGATATAATTATTTCCTCCAGCAAAGCCTCCTCCTCCGAGTCAATGGGGTTGGAGCACACTTAGCCCAAATCAGGAGTGACACATCAACTCCTTTCATCAAATGCATCCAACTCCGAGGGCTCCTTTGTTTGTTCTTGCTGATATTAAAGACTAATTTTGATTTAGACTAAGAGCCTTTTCCATCCCTCAGGAGGGAGCCGTGGCAACACCAGAGGATTCAATTAACTGTGTGCTCTAAATTACTCTGGAAAGGAGTGTGCTCATGTGGGCAGGGCAGGGATTTTCAGGGTACTGTCTGGAAGGGGTTCCATAGCTAATATAATAAATATAATTAATATATAATATAATAGAATTAAAATAGAATTGTAATTATAACAGATTTAATAGAATAAAGATATTATAATTTCTATTCTATTCTATTTTTTTTCCAGGAGCTCAGCTACAATAATCTTTATGGGTCCCTTCCAACTCAGGTTATTTTACAAGTCTATAATATTATTATTATATATAAGTAATAACTTCAGCTTTGCATAAATCTTTCTTGCTTTAGCAAAGCTGCTCATTCACCTACTTTTTTAACTTTCTTATTAACCGTTATTTTACAAACAAAAAAAAATAAAAAGAGAGCAGCAGGTGGCATCTTGTTACAGATAGAAAGTGGAAAACCAGTTGTTATTAAGGTCCTGTATTCAATCTTTGGCCACTACCTCCTCTTTGTCACCTTCTCTCAGTCTTTGACACCTGGAGAGAAGCATTCACTTCAGCAGAAAGTAATTTTCCTTTCATGCTTTTGCTTTCTTTTTTTTTTTTTTTTTTTTTTAAAGAAAATGCGCCAAATCAAGGCAATAGCTGGTGCACAAAATAGGAAAACACACAGAGAAGTTAAGAAGCTGTTTAGGACATTTTTTGCTGATGCTCTCAGGGCTCAGTTTTGATTGTGATAGATAATTTCTTAAATGCAGGATGGAAGCTGTGGTGGATGCAGAGCTGGAATTTAAATCTGTGTCTCCCACCTGGAGGTTACATACTCCAGCCACCTGCAAGGGCTGGAGAAATATTCAGTGGAATAACAGAATTATGGAAGGCTTTGAGTTGGAAGGGACCATCTCTTTCCATCCCCTGCCATGGGCAGGGACACATTCCACTATCCCAGGCTGCTCCAAGCCCTGTCCAGCCTGGCCTTGGGCACTTCCAGGGATCCAGGGACAGCCACAGCTGCTCTGGGCACCCTGTGCCAGGGCTTCACCACCCTCAGTCAAGAATGTTTTCCTCATCTCCAACCTAAATCCACCCTCTGTCAGTTTGAAGCCGTTCCCCCTTGTCCTGTCACTCCATGCCCTTGTAAAAAAGCTCCTCCTCAGGTATTGGGAGCTGTAAGGAATCATTAAAGAAACTGGAAGGAGAAAAGCCTTGGAGCTCCTGGCAGATGAGCAGCAGTCTCTGGCAGGTTGGTCACAGCCCTCAGTCACCTGCACACCACACACAGCCACAACTGCTGGCAAATCCCCAGGCTTTTAGGAGCCTGGACAAAATTCTAGAGGGAATAAAGCTCAAAGTACATGGAAAGTATTTGGAGAGGATTTTAAAAGTACATTTTTCCCTAGTACACACAGGACTCCTCTGTGTGCTTTAAAAGAGTTGTCAGCATTGTAAGGGCTGCAAGCAGTTCTCAATTCTTGCTTACCTGCAACCAATATAAGAAACCCCCTCCTTACCTCCCAGGAAAATCCAGAGTGTCTGTGTTAGCCATGACTTAACAACCATAAAAAAGGACCCATTTCAGTTCAGCTGTGACACTGCTCAGAAGAACGATATTCAAGATGCCCCTGACACAGGCATGGCAGTTTTTAAATCAAGCCATGATAGACAGTTTTCTCTTGTAAAAAATTTTCCCACCGTTCTTTTTCAGAGAATCCCAGAATAGTTTGGGTTGGAAGAGACCTTCAAGACCAATCCTTGCCATGGGCTGAGGCACCTTCCACTGGCCCAGGCTCTCCAAGCCCCATCCAGCCTGGCCTTGAGCAAGGGTGTATTTGTATTTTGTAGACAAAGCAAAACAACCATTGGAACATTCCCCTTGAAAAGGAAATAGATAAACAACGTAACCATTTATTTGACTGCATTGTATTTAGACAACTTGTACATTTCGTAACCCACTGGTTTTGTTCTCATCAAAAAGGATAAAGGGACAGAAGAATATAATCCACTCAAAACAGCAGTCCAGTATTTTGAGATACACTTGCTATTTTCTTAGATGCCCACCTGATACCTGAACTCCAACATAGGTTGTAATGTTTATACAAGACCTGAAGTTTTTTCAACACAGCACTGAGTTGTAGCAATGTCTTGCAGTGCCCTGAAAAAGTCTGACATACTCTGCAACACCAATCTGACGATGCCTTGAAGGTGATGAACCTGATCATTTCTTAAAAAACAACATAATGAATGCAAACATCCAGACCGACATGTCAGCCAGTAGCAACATTTGGGTAAATTTAAATATAAAAGCAATCAACTCTTTAGTTAGATTTGTCAATGCAAAAAGGCGAGGGGGAGAGAACTGTGTTTAGCAACAGACAGGAGAAATAACCAACTTTTCCTTGCTAGATTCCTTTTGAAAACCTATGCAAATTCAAGGCTTCCCACCTGATTCCCTAATCCCAAGCAGCACAGAGAACAAATCTGTTTAACAGGACCCAGCAGATGCAGCTCAGTGTCTCCTGCAGTGAACCTGTGACACAGCAGCCACGGCAGAACCTTGCAGGCCACACGCTCTTTGAAAAACAAAAAAAGAGAGATCCACACCTATTTTGCTCTGTATTTTCAACACAGGCATGGCAGCAACCACTTCATACAATAACCAACCAGAATTGTATTTGAAGTTTGCTCCAAAGGGATGTTTTTTGGCAGTGAGGAGGGATTTCAGCTCACTTGCCAGTCAGCTTTTGAATCTGAAGACACCCACGGCTTAAATATTAACTAATAGAAAACTTGCCTGTCTGCCTTTGCAGAATGAAACCCCAGCAAGACACACAAGGCAGCCCAGTTTGCAATTTGTGAATCAAGCCCAACCTCCCTGATCCAGCTCCAGGGCAGTCCCTGGACCACAGCTGAGGGAAACGTGACTCAAGGGATTTGCGACCAATGCTGAATTTATCTTAACACTAACCAAAACTGCTGAAAAGCCACCCAGAAACAAGGGTAACAAGAGGTTTTATGGTGTCACAAGGCAGCAGTGGCCACACACAAACTTTAGGCTGAACTCCAGCATGTCCTGGGAGTAACAGACCCCACTCCCAACACTTTGTCTTGGGCACCCTTTTAATGAGTTTTCTTTCCTGAGGGGAACGGATCCCCATGACAGCACAGATGGTGTCTCTGCAAGCAGAAAACTCAGCAGGGCCAACTTCCATTAAAAATCTTTATTTTCAAATACAACTCATGATTTGTACATGGTAAGAAACTCCATCACCATGTGCGATTGGTCTGTGCAAAAGGCGGCTTTGCTCAAATCCAGTTTTCCTGCACAGGGCTCTTTTCCAAATGATACTGGAGGTAGGGGTTTTGTTGGTTTTGTTTTTAGTGTACAGTAATTAGTAAAAATGAAAACAAACAAACAAAAAAAAAACCCCAAAACCAACCCCACAACTCAAACCAAACCCTATAAAGGGAAAACAAAGTGTAGTAAGGCAAATCTGGAGAATTCGCTCGATTCCATGAGTTCATCCTTTTGATCCCTGCAAGGACCATTCACCTCAGAGCTGGACTTGATCCTGGTGGGTCCCTTCCAACTCTGAATATTTTGAGATCTGTGATTATAGAGGTGCTTCCACAAGTCACCTAATACCTTTATTTTTGTCTTTCAAAAAAAAAAAAAAACAAAAAACCAAACCAAAACCCCCCAAAAAAGCCAAAACAAAAGAAAAAAAAACCAAACAAAAAGCCCCCCACAAAACAAACAAACAAAAAAACCCACAAAAAACTCAACCGAACTGATTCACAGACCTGGGCTATGGAATCACACGGAACAAGAAAGCCTTGATGCTGTCATTACTGAAAAAATTGATGGGTATTGGTAAAACCTATGTAAGCCAAATTAAAGAAAGAAAGAAAAAAAAGAAAAACAGAGCAACAAGACTGAATGCAAAAAAGAGAGACAGAATTCCTTCCCCGCTGCTTTGATTTTAGAGGGGAAAAAAATCCCCCAATAATTTAGCTCATGTAAGTTGAGAAAATGAGAGCAGCTGAAAATGAATATGATACACCTTGAAATTCACTTCCAAGACCATGAACCAAAGATTGAAGCATTTTAGAACACTGAAGCAAAGCAATCTGAATCTGAAAAAAAAATTGTTCCAACTATTTTAAAATAGCTGTTTCTCAGAGCTTCTAGCAATAATTTTGATTAAATAAAAATCATACCAATTTACATTAATTCTCTATATCTTCTTTTAAAAGAAGTCCCTCACTCTTTTAATGACAAAAGTGCATCCAAACCCAGCAGAGATTCACTGGTGCCACCAGGTTCTTTTAGCAGCTACTCAAGGTTTTCAAAAATAGCTTACACTTCTTGCTGTAAGAAGGGCCTTCCAAACCCTTGTTTGGGAGAAGTATCCGAATTATAAAAATCTGAAATAATTTATTATCAAATCCAGAATTTAAATAAAAGCAGATTTTTTTTTTCCTTGCAAAGACAACTGAAGAAAGTAAAAGAATAAAAGCATGCACTCCAAACTTAGAGGTGAAGACAAATATACTTATCTATACAGGCACTGGCAGACGCAATTTAATGGTTACTCGTTGTAACACACACCCCACCCTACAATACATTTTTTCATTCACTAATCACTGAGGTACCAATATTTAAGAATGGAAAAATTCAATATTGAAAAATAAAACCTAAAATTGAAGCCTTTTTTTTTCTTTTTCTTCTTCCCCAGAAAACTATGGCAATTTTTGTATGAAATGTTAGTATACTTATAGAATTTTACAATCTACATTGGCTTTATTTTGAATTTTCGGGAACCAAAAGCGGCTTTCCCATCCAGGTTTTTTTTCTGATCAAACGTTCAACTGTGTGGATGTCCTAAAGAGTCAGCAGACCTGCAAATGAATGAACATATCTTGGCTATCACCTGGCACATCTGGCTGGTACCAAAAGGACTCGGAGTCTGAGACAATCGGCTTTAATTCGGAACAAATGCGCCATGCCAAAGTGCAACGAATGTGTGCGACACTCAATGGGACACTGACAGGTTTAAGAGCTGCATGGAAAGTACTAAAGTCCACCTTGCAAAGCAATTTGGGACAAATTGCATTGCATGCAAAGGACAACTCTGCGCTGCTGGGACGTCGCTCGCTGGCTGGGATGGGGTCTCCTAACGCAGCCACAGTTTCAGACGCAGTGCATCCACTCCATTTAAATAGTATCTGAACAGCCTCTTGTCTCGCACAAAACCAAGGTTTTCATAAAGTTTCAAAGCAGACTTATTTGTGATTTCTGTTTCCAATACAACCTTTAAGGGAGAAAAGAAATAAAGAAAAAAAAAAAAGCGTGTCGCGTTAGTCGGCAGTTGCAATACAAGATTGCTGAACCAATTCACAAGGTTTTATTTAAAGGTATGCTTGTTAGCAATGAATGGAATTAATTTCTTCTTATCTTTACTTAATTAAGCAATATTTCCACATTAAGCATCCATTCCCACATTAAAAAAAATATAATATAGCAGTCCATCCACAACTGTAATTGTAAACAACATTCAAGATTTTAGTTATTGGCTGTAAACAGTATTTCAGTTCACCACCTCATAACAATGGTAAAAAACACATCAACAAACAAATCCCAAACATCCTCTGTCTCCCAACATCCTCCCCCAAAACCCAAGCTACCAGACAGGTTAGGGTCCAAAACATACTTTGAATGAGTAACTGTACTTCTGCATGTCACAAGAACTTGGCACATGTGGATTTAATGATTTAATATCTTTTTGACCCCTGATTCCTTGCAGTTAGATGTAGATAAAAGCTTTGAATTGACACCAGCCATCAGACCCAACATTTGCAGTCAATATTTGTGCTCAACACAAGAATCACAGAGTGGTCTGGGTTGGAAGGCACCTTCAAGATCATCCAGTTCACTCTCCTGCCATGGAGGGAAACTTTCCAATATCCCGGGTTGCTCCAAGCCTGATCCAGCTTGGGTACCAGCAAATACCCTAAACCCAAATCACAGCGCACACCAGAAGATAAAAGAGAGTTTTCCGTATTTTTCCCCCTTTGTTGGTAAGATCCCAGTTGCAGAAAGACCTGTCAGAAATAACTCAGACCAAACCCAAGTCCAAGAGTGGTCCAAATTAAAGAGTCAAAATTGTCTCAGAATTGTCAAGCACAGGAAAAAAACAAACCAAAAAAACAAAACAAACTGTTCTGGCCTTAACAAGACATTAATCACAAAACTTCAGTATTTTTTTCAGAATTGCTTCTCTCTTCTCCACATGCACTGACCAGAGCTCTGCCATAACTGACAAGCCCTGCATCACCTCCACATAATAAAACCTAATTCTGCCTCTTGTCTGGTGTCCAACTCAATTATTTAAGGTTCTGCTATTAGCAAGAACACAGGCTGAACTAACAAGGCCTGGTCTCTACACACCCCGACAGTGAACACGTATTAAACAGCAGCTGATGGTCACTGTAGAAAGACCATAGAATGAAAATACAGGACCAAAATACCAGCCTGGATTTGTAGAACAGTAAAGTCCATCTACTTTATGGCTTCTGTGGCCTCCCTTCCTTCAGGCACACATTCCCACTCCCTTTTCCCTGGCCTCTCCTGCCAGCTCTCAAGGCTGGTTCCTGAGCTCCTTCCAAAGCCACCTGGCAGAAAACGTTTCCTTTTTCTCTCCACAGGGTTTGATTTCTGCAGTCTGAGGAGTGGCTAGGTCACTGTGAAAGGGGGAGGCAGCCAGTGGTTAGAGTGACCTGAAACTTGAGTCAAATACATACATTAATAGGATTTTTAAATCTTATTGGAGGTGACCAGTCTAACCACTGGCTGCCACATTCCAACGGGCAATTCCACCTGTGTTTCTCAGTGTAAGGATGTTAAAAGAACAATGAAGCTGAGGATAACCCAATGAAAAATATAAGACTTGGAAACAGTTTTACAGAAAGGAAGAAAGAGTCACACATTGAAATATTAATCATCAGAGTTCTTAAATTACAGCATGGCAGTTTTGAAGCTGCACGCTTAATACAACCTAATTCAATTCTTAGTTTTGTGACAAGAATGAGAGATTGAATTTCTCTGTTTGGCACTTCCCAGAACATTACTAGCAAGTCCTGTGGGCTGATGGAGTACTCCTAACATACTTCATCCATTAAAATGGGTAACTATTAATCTGTAAGAAATTATGGAAACACCATCATTTTGCTGGAGAGGGCTGTTTTCTACACATTGTACAACCCCTTAACTCCAATTTAAACAAAACATTGAAGCCAAAGAAGGAATCTGACCTGTGCAGAGGATTATTTATTTGAACTCTCAGCTAGCAAGGGCATTCACTCTCTCAATGGTTCAGTAACCTGGCAGAGTGATGTAACAACTCTGTTCAACTGCAAGCACCAACACCTGGCAATGCAAAAACACTTCCAGCACTGCAGGTGATTGAGCTGAAGGGAGTGGTTAAATGTTGAAATACAGGTTTGTTGGAATCCCACTACCTGAGTGCATGCTCATCTTGAAAGCAAATGCAAGAGATTTGCTCTGGTATTTCTAAGGAAGTCTTAGCACAATGAAAAGTAATTCCCTGATCTCAACATAATGCAGCTGAAGACATGTTTCTGTTATCTGAAAAGGAAACACAGGCATATTTTATTCAGATTTCATTAGCTTCCTTTGGTGAAGAATGTATCTCTTCCTGTGTGAGATTTCAATCAAGCTCCAAACCTTCAATTGTTACATTTATTTCTGCTCTTGTGGGACAATTTTGTTGTACACATACGCCTGTTAAATACTCTGATAATACAGCAACATCCCCCCTGAAGGGCAGCAAAGCTCTGATGAAATTTAACATTTGCTGCTCAAGCTGCAACTTTTTGAAGATTGTGACATTCTCTTTTATCTTACATTTAATAAACTGAACATTTTAGCTCAACTCTAAGATTAACTGGGTTTAGAAGCAAAAAGATTTCTATATTAAGAGTGGAGTGCAATGTTCCTTGTTGCTACATTTTCACACCTTTAATTTATTCCTGAACTGAAGCCAACTGAAGTGGTCAAGCCTTCTTGCTTCTTCAGCTCAAACTCTGAAAGAAACTCAAGTTTAAAACCCAAGTCATAGAATGGATACAGCCAAATAAATAAAAAAAGTCCTCTCAGCACTCAGAGGAGGTTGCTATTCTTACTCTAAAGTCTGACAGGTCATCAGACTCAAGTTATGAGGGCTTGTCCAGTGTCCTTAATCAATTTAACTGCCTTAGCTTTTAAAGACAGGCACTACCCAAAATCTAAAGTTCATACTTTTTATGTTTTTTAGACTAAGGAGAAACTAAAAATATCAGTAATGTAATGATTTCAAATAGGATTCCATAAAAATACACATTTCATTTTTACTAGTGTGGTGCTGAACTAAAATGACACACCTATTAGTGTGGTCAAAAACCCCACTCTAAATCACCCTGAAGTTCCAATGGGAAGTCCTATGAGAATCTGTGGTTCCTTTTCATGTTCTATATTTTTGCTTTAAAAAAGTTTTTCAAGTCCCATTTACTGGAGTCTTATTTTCATTAGCTACCAATTTATTCACATCATATTACTGAAATATTATTTCAGTAATATAAATGAATGGATTGTATGCAGATTCCTCAGTCATTTGTTACAGAGGAAAAACCTACATATGAACAACTCCTTTCTAATTGTAATTAAGGGATGTAACAGTTCCCCAGGATGGTCTTCAGCTACAGAGTTTTGGGAAATTGCTTGCCAGGAAAAACAGTGCAAAAAGCAGCCAGACACCCACCTTGCTGCAGTCAGCACATGCTTTTGTTTTTTAAACTGGAAGAAAAATACTTCCAAAACTTTGGAGCTGAAAGTAGAACTATTCACCTTCTGTAACAAATGACTGAAGAATCTGCATACAATCCATTCACTTCATATTACTGAAAAAATACAGTATTATGAAGTGAATGAATTGGTAATTAATGGTAACTAATGAAATAAGACTCCAGTAAATGGGACTTGAAAAACCTTTTTTAAGCAAAAATGTAGAACATGAAAGGGAAGCACAGATTCTCATGGGACTTCCCATTGGAACTTCAGGGTGATTTAGTGAGGGTTTTTTGACCACACTAATGGGTGTGTCATTTTAATTCATTTCCATAGTTCACCTTTTCTATGCAACCAGCCCATAGTTATCCTAAATCACTGTGATCCACTGGAAACTCAGCCCAGTACAGTTCACTACCCCAAATATCTGAATTCATGATCAAATACCTGAGAAAGTCACAAAGATAAAAAACAAATAGAAATCAGAGATGCCTAAGTTTTGTAATGTTATATGCAGACACTCCAGCTGGAAGCTGCTGTGTGAGTACTTTCTCCAGGCCTGAAGGTTATTTCTGGCTCAAGAACCCACCCCCAACAGCAGATCACTTCCCTGGTTTCTATTCTCATGTAGGCCATGGCCAGCTCCTCCCCTGCACACAGATTCCATTCCACTCAATTCACCTCCTCGCTTACTCCACAGCTTTCCCAGAGAAAATCCTCCCCACCCCTGAGGAAGACTCTGCACCCAGCACAAGCTGCCTCTCAGGCAGGGTGCTGACCACTGTAAACCACTCATTCCATAGGCCTGCCTTGGTTTATTCCCACTAAAACAGCCTGCAGGGGAAAAAAAATGTCCTTAAACACCAGAACATTGCAGCAGGCTTTGAAATGCCACCTATCAGCTGTGATTTGTCAAGATTTTCATCTGTGGTGTTGTATAAAGCCTTTGTTTTTCAGGATGCTGGTACCTCCAAAGTCAAATCTGTAATGCTTTGAGAAGCAACACAGAGTGAGGCATTTATCAGATTATATGCCACAAATTATTAAAATTAAGTCTATTTACTGCATCTATTCCATAATTAGATTGAAGGGAAGAGTTTCCAAGCAGCCTTTGGAAATTTTTCACGACACCCACAGCTGCATATTCATGTTTTTAATCCTATTCCAAGCAAGTTTCAGAAAATAGCATTTTGTTTTTAATTGCACTCCATCTTATCTCAGAACCCAGTATCTTTTTATTTTCATCAGGATTCTGATTTTATTAAAAGATGTAGAAAAATACCTTAAAAGCTGCAGGGATGATTAAACTATTTCTATGCCTCAAACAGCCAAATTATTGTGATGCACTGTGTTTGATGAGCTTTAAGCACCAATTAACCAGAAACTGATCTCCTGACAACTGCTGTGAAAACTGGCGAGACCCAAGAGTTGGGCAAAGCTTTCCATGGGTGCCTAGTTAGATTTCTCAGATTCTGGTCTGACTGAAAAGTCAGCATTCCACCACATAGTACAAGTAACCAACATCCTTATTTTACACCATTTTGGGTATGTGGAAGAAGCCTACTTGGTGGCAAAGGGGAAAAAAAAACCAAACATGAAAACATTGGCTGTTTATTTGTGGATAACCTGCATGTGTTAAAGAACAACATAAACAAAAATAAGTGCAGGTGTGCCTCAGTTGATGGTCCAGAAAAATAATCAGTAAAATACTCTGCTTCTATTCCATGCTCCCTAAAGGGCTCCCAGTTCAAAATTTAGTGCCAGCACAAGACTCAGCTTGTGCAAAAGCCCCCAAAAAGCAGGGGATGAGTTTGGAATCATCATTCTACAAATGGCAGTTCCAAAACCATGGCTGCCCCCATCCAGCACACAATTCAAGGAGTCTGAACTGTAGTGCCTTTGAATAAAGAGACAGAATCTGAGAAATGCCCTCTGCCCCCTGGTCCAAAGCATTTACACAGCACCAGAGAGGAAAATCTGTGACTAAGACTTAATGAGACCTCACTGCAGACCTGCAACACTTATCACATTTATTTCATGTTTATGGAGATAAAAAAATAGGAAAAAGGGATCTTGGATTAATATGACAGAGGTAGAGGAAAAAGACTGACACACAAGAGGTTACTGTTAGAGGTCACCTGTTAGACAGTCCAATCTAGAAATGAATTTCCATGAGGAGTAGCACACAGACATTCAGAAATTACACAGTAATTACTGCAACTCTGAGCTTGAGTAGAAACATCCAGTTCTACTCCTGACTCTCTAATAACAGTGGGCAATTCACTTCCCTTCTCTGCATCTCACTTTTGCAGCTGTGGTGTGAACACTATAAACCTGATCCTCAAGTATTTACCAATTTTTTCAAAATCTTGACTAGTCTAGAAATGGGAAATCAACTCAAAACCATAGTGGGGAGAACAAACCAACCAACCTCTTCTTGATTAGTTCAGTAGGTAAGTAGTAAAGGAGATTAGAGGAAAGCATTTTAGAAACCAGGATAGAAGCAAGAAGTCAAAATAAAGAACTTAAAAGAATTACACACTGCACTGTACTACCCAACTACAGCATAAATTAGAAGGTGAAGGGGAAGAAGACACCAGCAAGCAGAGGCATGAAGGGATCTGAGGGAAAGAATAAATCTCCCAATGAACGAAGGCAGAGCATAGGCAGGGATGCTGCAGGAAGAGAAACACAAGTGGAAAAATAAACTGGAGCGTGTGCCAAAAGTCCTGTGACACCAATTGTAGCTTTGCATAAGAAACTTCCCCACGGGGCAGTGGGACAATTGAGGGAGCAGTTGAAGTGAGATAACAGAGAGATCAAAGGCTCATTAACTATGACACACTGAAATGACAGTGCTCACATATCAGAACAACTGCACTGTGCCAAGGAGCTGGAAGTTAAAGGGACGGATAACCTGGTCAAGGAGGATGGATGGAAGGATGCAGGAAGAGCTCCTCACAAGTTAAACAAGGCACGTAACAATAGAGGTGCTTTATGTACATATTTATATTTTAAAAAAAGCAAAGCAGGACCTGGAATCTGGTGAAAGAGTTACAGCTTGTAGGGCAGGGAAGTTTGCCAGTGGTTCAGTCACTCCCCCTGCATGTCTGTGTTGCTGTGCTAACCCACTGCAGCCCTGCTCTGTGCAGTGTCAGAACAGCCTGATGAGTGGCTGTGATAAATCCACATTCTGCAGCAGCACAGCACACACTGTTCTGTGTCTGGCTCTACTCTGAAGGGATGGCAAGGCCACACAGGACATGCTCATCCCACTGCTCAGCTCCACCTCAGACTGGGGCCCTTGCAGGAAAAAGGGGCCTGAGTGAAGACTGAGGAAGCTTCACAAGGTAAATTGCTGAATTTCAGCACTTAGGACAAATTTAGGAAGTTCATCTCCTATTTGTGCTATACTTTTTTTAGAGGCTGTTTTCCCTTTTATTATAAAGGAGCTTCTTACCAACTTATTTCTCGCTTTTAAAAAGTCCTGTAGAAGAAAAACCTGTGAAATGAATCCACATACAAGAGAGTGCAAACCATTTACATTATGAAAGTTTTCATAATAAAATCTTACCTCATCACAATCTCCTTCAACCATAGCATAAATAGCTTTCTTAACCAAGTTTGTACCTGAAACACAGATTTCAGTAAGTGTCAGAGTTGCAGTGCAAAACAAAAATGCCAGTTTATATACGACTAATGTGTGCTACCTACATGACATGACACCTGGGGAAAGGAGGGAGGAAAGAAAAACAAGGAGTTGCAGTCAAGCTGCAGTCTCAAGTTTGAACGCTAAAATAATCTGTGAAGTTATCCAGAGACTCAGCTCAAGTGCAAGATTCTTGTAACACAAGGATATTAGAAACTGGCTGCTATGCTCAACATGGTGTTAAATATAGCCTTCCAAGATGTGATTCATTCCTTTTTCTTGCATTTAAAGTCAAAATCTGCTGGCATGTACTTGAAGGACATTCATCTTCCATGGGAATTTCCTCTTACTAAAACAAATACTTGTATTAGAAACAGAACTTATGAAACCAGTGTTTTTATGGCTCACTCCCATTTGGGTTTGCTAGTATCTAGTAATATTCTTGAAGCCCATCCCTTCCCCTCAATCAAGCATTAGTTTAATTTTTTAATCATTATTTTTCATCTATTTCACAACAGTTCTACAAATGTAATATCCCTACCTGTCTGTAGAATTGGGGTGAAATTGAAAGTTGATTTCAAAGTTATTAGTGGAAAAAACTGCTGTTCAGTGAAATTGCATAAATCTCACTTCCATAAGAAGGCTATGGAAAAGGAAAAAAAACCCCAAGGAATCTACAGAATGTTTTAAAATATTCTCAAAACTTTAATCAATAAAGATTTTCATTGAATGTGATGATAAAACTGTTCTACATTTAAAGCAGATCTTCAAATTAACAGCACATTTTGAGAAACAGCAAGGTGGCAAATATAGGAAAAAGTCAACATATATAATGTTAAAGTAAGCCAGGCTTTAAAGATAAATTCTATGTATGTAATTCTAATTTAACAAACTGACTAAAGTGAGGGAAAAGTCTTGCAGTGATCTTCATAATAACAGCAGTAGCTCTTATTTACTTCTGAATCCAAGCACCTGCAATTAAATTATGGCAGACTCCTTCATGACTCAGCTAAAAGGAAGGGAGAGACAGTGATTTCTCAGTATCCTCTTCCTCTGCTCCACTACAGAAACCAACAATGGCTTTTGAATTGCACTGGGGAAAGAAAAAATCTGCACATGCTTGAACAGTCATGGTAATGTGTTTTTTTGGAGTTTTTTTTTTTTTTCTGGAAGAAAGCAAACACAATGGTACATTCTGCAATGGATCACTGTATTTTTTGATTGCAAGTAATTTTCTGTCTTTAATCACAGAAGCATGAGCTGTTCAGTGTGGATGAGTGGTGAAGCACAGTTCTAAGCTTTGGAGCTGACGTCTACATTTAGTTAAAAATACCTTACATAATGTAATTTCACAATAACCAGCATGAAAAAATTAAGTTCCATAAGATGAGATATTTAATTAAGCCAACTTGGCTAACAGGAGTTAGAATGAAAATTCCTTCACCAGGGCAAAACTGATTAATGAGAAAGGGCAAACTCCCTGCCAAGAGTGATTTCTTTACCACGTACCTTCCCAACAAAACAGGTCTCCATTTCAATCATTCAAGTAACAATACACAGCTATTTTTCTTCCCTGATTAATACAATAATGAGCTCCATACATTCTCCCTGATGGGCAATATATGCATAATTTATAGGTGGAAGTCAGGAAATAAGTTCACTGTAAAAAAGGAGCCTGAACACAACGTGGAAATACAGTGATGAGGGCACACATAAAACCACAAAGTTCCCACTGCTATTTGGCAGTGGTAGAGGCAGAGGTAAGGGGCTGCTGCCTGCCTTTCTTTTTAGCCTTATCAGATCCCAGGTGGGAACCTCACAGGGCATTTCAGGTTATTTTAATGAAATCAGAAAAGCCACTGGGGGCTTGTGAGGTTGAGTAAGGCAAGGATGACACACAAAGCACCACATCCTGAAGTTCAGTTCAGCTTAAATCTCTATGACAGCCACAGTTATGCCAGCTGGAGGATTTAAGGAAAAAAGAACAAAAAAGGCTGTTCTTACCAATTCCTTTTCTTCTGTATTTGGAATCCACTGCTAACATGGCTATATAACCTCTGCGGAACATCTTTTTGTGCATATCCAGCTTGCAGACGATGGCACCTACACACTCCTCACCTACCATGGCCTTAAAGACAAACATACACGGATGGAATTCTCAGTTTGGGATCCACAGTGCTACCAAAAGCAGTAAACCAGTTCATTTTTCAAGTGAAAGAGCCACAGAAAATTTGTTTGTATACAGCTATGAAAAGGTAACAATGTAAATTTTGAAAGCTTCTCCAGTAGTATTACTAAGATTAAAAGACTCAATTGCTTTATTACATTCCAATAAAGTTCCAGGACCATTAACAACCAATAAATTATTCCTGGAGGGAACCACATTGTCATTACACAAAGTCTACAGGTAAGAACACATGTGATTAAAAAGGGAAAATAAATAAAAGACAAGGTTAAGGCATAAATTACCCTTTCATACGGGCTTCTACAGAGGAAAAATGTCCATTCCTGTTTTATAGTGATCTAAATTTTCTTGTACAAGGGCTGTGCTAAATAACATGCTTAATTTTTGTCTGGTTTTAATGTCAAGGCCACAGAGGATCAGAGAAGTGTTGCTGCATTTAATCATTAGACACTGTCGTTTTCAGTCATATGACACCCGGAGAACAAACAAAAAAGCACAGTTAATTTCACACATTTTAACTATTGGGAGATTTCGTTTGTTAAGAGCTTTGCACTGGCAGTTAATCCCAGTGGCATTGTCACAGTAACCGTGGTCAAGGAGATGTAGGCACTCTGAAATATTAAGAAGAAAAACCCCAAAAAGGAAAGGACCCAACTCCTCCCCAAACACTCATCAAACCACTTGCACACTCACTGTGTTCACCAAAATTTTACCATGAGAGAAAGGAAAACTAAGTAATGTTAACTGAAGGATAAGGCAGCACAAGGGATTAATGACATTATAACCTGCAGCAGTAGAACTGAGTAATGCTGCAGAGTGGGACAGCATCCAAGGGGAAAACAAATTCCTGTGCACTCAGGAAAGATGGGCAGAGATAAAAAGAACCTCATAATTTTACATATGGGTGTGTGAGTGGATCCACAGCCTTTGACAGACCTGCAGTGAGGACCAGCTTGGGCTCAAGCACAGCAGCTAAACCAGGACTACAGCACATGATTGGCACAAGCATGTGCTGGCACAAGAGCTGTGGAAAATCCAAATTTACAACCCTAAGACATGTCAAATGAAAGGACTTGCTAGAGCCAGCACTGCCAGACCTCAGAGCAGCCACCTGTGAAGCCAGAGCTCACTGCTCCAAAGTCTGTGGTATAAACTCAGCCTCCTGAACCCTCGTGCACAGCTTGTAGCTAAAGCTCCATGGACAGAGGATTCCTTCCTGCGGGTCATACTGCAGGCACAGCCTCTTCACCCCAAAAAGAATCAAATCTTTGAGCATCTTCACCTGGATGCTGGGTTATTGAGCAAGTCAGCTGTCAACTAGGAGCTGCAGCAAAGGTGAAATGAAGCAGCCAAAAAAAGTACAAGCTGCAGTTCCAAAGCCCTATGATACAGCACGATTATAACCCCATTCCTAATGTAGCTGAAGCAAATATAACTATTGCTAAGTTTTTATTTGGCAGGAAAACACATTTCAGCAGTATCCAAGAACAACCCAGAACAATCTAACAAGTGGTTTTTAAAATAACAAACAAAAACTGCAGCATGATCTAACTGGACTGAAACACAGAGCCTCTAAGCAGTCTTTCATTTGTTCCAAAACACAGGTTATTCCACAGAAAACAGGAGCTGTGCCCATAAGCAAGCAGTGTATGCAAAGTTTTAGCTCAAGGCAAGTTCTGTATCTCGGCTCAGACCTGAGAAAAGCAGGGAGTTAAATAAAGAGTATCATCAGACAAACTGCTCAGAACATTGCTATAATTATGCAGACTACCTAGATGTAATCTTATACCTCACTAAAAAAAAAAAAAAGCACACCACAAACTAGCATGTTATAGTTGTGCTTTGCCCTGAAGTGAACATGTGCAAACTGTTGATCCTAACAGTTATCTGGAGAATTTTTAAGATAAATATATATGTATATTTTATTTAACATGCTTCAGGAGTAGTGACAATCTAGCTGCTTCATATCTGAACTCTTTCTTGTCCAGGGCACTTTTCAGAAGTTATACTCATGAATCATATATTTAAAATGCTAAATGAACAGCAAATAATTTTGTTTTAGTGATCAAAGAAGCAAATACCCACTGGTTTTACCACTGCTGCCAGAGAGCTGAATAAAAATGACTCTGTTACCAGTTCTCCAAACCCTTAAATCTATTTCTCTGTCTTTAGGCAGGTAAGTCTAGCAGTTAATCTACAGCTGTTCCACTCACAAAGAGTGCTGCATTTCCACCTTATTTAGAGGGGGTTTTGTTGCCTTTCCTCTCCTTTATCCTTCTTTCCAACCTTATCTAAAGCTGGAAATTAACCTAACCTGTGATGTGAAACCTTGCAGTTTAATTTCCTGGAGAAAGTTAAACTGTGTGAATAAAAAAGACCCAGACTGAGGCAGGGAGAGTTGTGAGGAGGAAGGAAAAGTAGCTCCCACACAACATCATTTAGGAAAAGATAACCATGGGCCAAATTTTCCTTTCAGGTATACCAGAGTACTTCTAAACATGCAATTTTCTACAAACAGAATTCAGCCTAAGTCACTATTACATATTATAAACTCCACAGAGTACTATAAGATTTACTCCAATACTAAGTTATTAGTAGCAGGATTAACATACATCAATCCAAATCCAATATTTGCATCATTTTTGTTCCTATGAATAAGTTTAAATACTTAAAACAAATGCGATTTTAATATACTGGAAGAGCTAGTAGAGAAATGTCTGCAAATCAGCAAGAACATTACTTTACACAGAATTAATCAATTTGTATTAATTTCATTATCAAAGATGGCATTATGTCTGTCAGCCACAGTCTGAGTATGCATTTAATATCCAGATCCTGTGAATTTTGTTTAAAGGAGATTAAAACATCCAACCAACCCCAAAAGGGAAATATTTTGCAATTCAAACACAGCAGAACCTGCACTGCTGCACTGCACATTTCCTTTCACACCTGCACTGAAGTCCATCCCAAAGTATCCCAGGCACAGCTGGGTGGGAGCTGGCTCACATTTAGGATTGTGTTACCAAATGCCATTAGAGGATACACTCAGGGTAATGGTTTTAACCTCCCTCTGGCACTTTAGACACAGCTCCCCCCAGTACCTGGCAAATACCACCTCCCTCTGCTTCCCTCCATGAACCTGGACAGCAGCAATTCCCTCCTGTGTGAGGAACAGCCCCTGGAATAACTGCACTGGCTGTTGTCACCTGCTCAGGTGCTGCAGGGACTTCAGTTTTCACAGAGCCACCAACAGTGAGAGACTGTCTGAAAGTCTGATCACTCCTAAAACCAAACTGGAATAGAAAGTTTGCAAATTCTCCTACAAAACTACTTCTTCCTACGTCTGCCACGAGGCAAGGAAGACTTCTCAGACAACCTCCTAACTTTTCTGGTTCTTCCTTTAAGCCCCAGGTTTTCCACAACTGAAGAACAGGGATGATGTCTTACAAGTCTTGATTTCAACATACCAAGCCTCTTGAATCAAATCCAATTTTAAAAAATGCAAAGCATTAGTATAAAACAAGACTTAACTGCAGTCATTTAGGATTTACAACACATTTAAAACCACTTACATGGAATTAATAGGTTATTTTTAAACTTGTGAAAGTTTAAATTATAAATGCTGCTATAGCTAGTGGCAAAGTTAAGAGCCCAGTAAAAGCATAGATTTTCTAGATTTTTCTTAAAAGGCAGCTGAGTGGTACAGTGAATTACAGGAGAGGTTACAACACTCAGCCTTTTATTACGTTCTGTCTTATCCAAATTCTGGCACAGAGCAAGGTTTCCTAAGCTCACCTCTCCCACGCTAAAGGATTTTGAAAACAATTTTCTGAAATATTTAATTTATCAGTCTGAAATGAAAGCTTCAGAACTTTAGCATCGCTAAGACTAGAAGCTACAAACCACTTTAAAAGAAAGCTACGTCAAAAATGCATTTACAATCCATCTGGGGACACAAAGATGTAACATAGCTTAAAAATACTTCGCATAAAACACAAGATGTCCCTTGCCCCTGTCATTTTTTGACAGAGGAGTGGGTATCATTTGAGGAGAAACTGGGCTGACAGAGCTTCTGAGAATAAATAAAAACCATGCATTTACTGGGCACCCACACCTCATACACAGTGCAAACCTGCTCCTCTGAAGACAGGCAAAACATGAGTTGAACCAGACAGTTGGGAATTTTTACAGAATCCCAGAACGGTTTGGGTTGGAAAAGACCTTACAGATCATCTAGTTCCAACCCCCTGCCATGGGCAGGGACACCTTCCGCTGGAAGTTTATGCAGGAAAATGTTATTACCTTGCCACAGTCCACTTGCTGCAGTGGGACACCTCAGTGTCACATCACTGAGCACTATGCCCAAGCTGCTACCCCTAAAGTCAGGATAACAGGTGGACAAATTAGATACTGAATTTAACAGGGGTTTTAGACTTCCAGTATCTCCAGGTCTTTTTGAAATGGAATATTAACTTCTTCTTTGAGTGCACTGTCAGGAAGTGGTCTGAACCTGAAAAACTCCGGTCACTGCTTGACCAGTCAGGGTTGGTCTCTGCCTTCCCTCCAGCTGAGCTTCTTCTCTTGCACCAGTGCCTGGGACATCCTACAGGAATAGATTTGGAGCTCTAAACCAACAGAGCATCACCCTAAAACAGCTCAATACACACACATTTACAAGTATATGCTGGTCAGAGGGGTACCCTGGCTCCCAAAATCACAGAAACACAGGGGCTGGCACAAGGCAGGAAGAGGGAGTTGAAGAGAAAGGAAAACAAGCATCAGCCTGGGCTGCACCAGCTCTTAGAGCAACTTGGGAAGGCCAAACCAAAATTCAACGGATTTCAAATCCATGCAATAAAGTTAATAATGTCCCCAGAAGTTAGCTTTGCATTGTCAGAATAGGGAAATTATGTTTTAGATAGTTCACCGAATAAACCACCAGTAAGAGACATGTGCTGATTATTTAGGGGAAAATACACATCCCATCTTAAATTTCAGTGATGTCAGTCCTTTCACCTCACAGGGAGAGGAAAGGAAAGGTGCCATGACAGCACAGAGAAGACAGGTGAATGTGCTCTGGAAGAGTTTTCAAATGGTGATGGTGAAATTCAGCAAAGGAATTCCAGATCTTTTTCCAAATACAATCAAATCACAAGCTAATTCCTATTCCCAAAACTCAGCCAAAACCTGAAACCAGAAGGGTGTAGGGCCACAATGCATTACATCAAATGATTCTATGAGATCAGGCACTAAGCCTCATGTTCACCATCCTGACACTTCTTGCTAATTGAAATATGCAGTCCCTGACTGAAGATAAGTATTTTAAAGTAATTTATTGGAGAGAAGTAGTTCAGGAATCCATTAACTGCAGGAACAAATTATATTTTATAGAACAGAAAGTTTTCAAGACAACCTCTAAGAAACAAGCCTCAAAACTATTAAAACCAGTCACAATAAACCCCAACCCCCCACATATGAATTTGACTCAGCATACTGCAAGACCTTCAAATTATTAAGCAGATAACAATTTTCTGGATTTAGACGTTCACAGCCATATATTATTCTCTATGCGTTTATGTACTTTACATTGTTTCACCTTTCAAAAAATGGCAAATATACTGAGCTCAAGAAAAGTTTTGTTGATTCTTCAGGGCTATCAAAAAATGAAGCTGTCACTACAAAATAAATTTTCTCTCCCTTGAGTGATATCTTACTCTTTAAATGCACTTATTAGAAATCATCTGTTTTAGTTCTCTGTCAAACAACTTGTCACTGCTCTTCTCACAACAAAATTCTCCAGTTATTCCCTGACAAAAACAAAAAACCCCAACCAAACCCATAATGACTGAAAGTCTAAACAAATTGTGATCTAAGAGTATCCAACATTGTCTTGGCATTAGCAGGGCTACACCTGATGCTCATAGGATGGACATTTATAATTCTTGAGCATTTTACTCACAGTATGAGGTAATCAGTCACAGGAAGAGCTCAGTGTTTGAACATCACTGTGCTCTGATCAGCATCCTTGTAATGGCAAACATGACTTTGCATCCAACAATGCTCTCCAATGTTTTCATATTCTGTTTTGTTCCAGAAGGTCAACACTTTGCTTTGCTCAACTTCCTGCAATCCTACTGTACTCCCTCAGCAGGGTTTTAGAGGCACAGTTCTGAAAATCCTCCTATAAACCATATCAATCCTGCTATAAGTTCTGGCAAATCCTAAACCAGGACCATTCAGGAAGTTGAAGGCCAGATGGACTCCCTTAGCCTCACCTCTTGTACTCATATCCTATCAAAATTTCAGAGATACCCCTGGACTGAAGGGTGTCTTGGCTCTGGCTTCATCAGACCATTCAGAGAGGTGCCCAGCCTTAATTAAAACATCAAGAGAGATGAATTCACCATTTTCTTTAGCAAGGAAGTGCCACAAACTCCCCTAAACGTTCTGTTTTGCAGCTGTGAGTGAATCAAGCACAGTAGGCTCTTGCTATGCACACACTTCTACTCACTTTCATTTACCTGTGGATGCACTGTCATCCTCAAATCGTGCAACTGAGACACAAAAAGTGCTAAACATTTAGGAAGGCAGGGGGGACAGCTAGACCAGCCTTTCAATAGTGCAGTAAGAAGAATACAACACTAAATATTGTTAGTGCAGGGAGCCAAGGTGAGAATTCCTGCATGCTGCGAGCACTCTCACACCTGTAAAAGCAACACAGCTGGACTTGTCCTTGTCAAAGTAAGCTCACAGATCAAAAAGTCTACTAAGCCTTTCACAGTGCCTCTCCACCTATCACTTAACATTTATGTGCCAGCCCTGCTTTAGTCAGTTTTAAAGCCGTTGTGCAAGAATTAGCAAGCAGTTACAAGGCATTAGTGGACTAAGTACTTTCTTTTTCAAATCCAAGCGCAGGAACCAAGGCAGAATCATAAAATGAGCTACCAAAGGTCACAAAAGTCAATGTCAAAACCAAGATTAGAAGCCCTGAATTCCTGGATCCTAGCCCTGTGCTCAAACCCTTTCCCCACCATTTAAAACATTTGTTAACAAATGTAGAACTTCGGGAACGTGCTTTACTTGTACCTGCACGGGTCACAAAGGGACAGGCATTTCCAAAAAAAAAAACCTGGCCTTGCCCACAAGAAGATTATTAGAAGTCTTTCCACAAACGCCAACCCTTCCATCCTCTCCTCCCCAGCCCCAAACCACTCCCACCTCCTGCCCTCCCTGCTCCCTCCAGCACTTACCAAAAAGCAAAGTTGTGGCCAGTTGTGGATAAAATACCTGTATGTGTAAATGGAGTAGGGTTCAGACAGATCTTTGGTGATCAGTCTCATGATATCGGGCATCTGCAGCTCTGACTCATACTGGACGTATCGTATCGTTAGGTCCTCCTCGGGCTGACAGTCCGTTCCCGAGCCTTTCAAACTGCAGGCTGCTGCTAAGGACCCGGAGAGTAGCTGCAGGGACTCCTCCTCCTCCTCCCCTCCTTCATCCCCCTCCTCCTGCTCTTCCTCCTCCAAGCCAGTCTCTCCTGCCAGCCCATTGCGGGCTGCAGTCTTAGCAGCAGCAGTGGCGGTGGTGGCAGCAGGCTGGCTCCTGTCCCCTTTAGCTGGGGGAGAAGGAGGAGGAGAGGGTGCAGTCCTTCCCTGGGGAGGGAGGTGGTTGGCGTGGGGGGACGAGCAGGGCGCTGCGCTGGGGGGCGACGGCTGCTGCTGTCCGGAGCCCATTGTTTTGCTGGCTCGCTTGTTCTCCAGCCCCTCGGGGGCCGCCCCTGCCTCCGAGCCGAGGATCTTGCCCTTGAGGGAGGCCCGCAGGTGCCGCAGCTCGGGGCTGATGAGGCCGTTGAGCTGGTGGTTGTGGTGCGGGGGGTGGTGGTGGTGGCGGTGATGGTGGCGGTGCTGCTGCGGGCCCCCCTTGCCGCCCTCGCTGCTTCCTCCTCCTCCTCGCTGCTGCTGCTCCCGTCCGCCCGCGGGTCCCTCCTCTTCCTCCTCCTCCTCCTCTTCGGCCTCCTCGTCCTGGGCGCCGGTGCAGGCGGCGGCGGCGGCGGCGGCATAGGAGGCGGCAGAGGAGGAGGAGGAGGAAGCAGCCCCCCCTCCTCCTCCTCCGGGGAAGGGGGAGAGCGTGTCCCCCTGCGGGGACAGGACGCTGCTAGGCCCCGGCGGTACCTCGGCCATATCCTACGGGAGAGACCGACACAAACTCACCGGGGATGAGGAGGAGGAGGAGGGCGCCAAACCCAACGGGGGCGACGGGAATGTGTGGGGGGGAAGGAGGGAGGGAAGGAGGAGCGGCGGCCTCACGGGCCGCGCTCGGCGGGGAGAGCGGAGCGCAGGGGGGGGGGGGGCGCGAACAAAGGCACGCACGGTGCCCGGGCCGCCCCTCGCCGCCCCGCCGGCCGCTCTGGCGGCTGCCCCGCTGCCCCCGCGGGCGGGGCCGTTCCCGGAGCGCTCGGGGCCCGGGGTCCCGCCGCCGCCGCCGCCACTCACCGCCGCGTCTGGGCAGCTCCCGCTCCGCCGCCGCCAAGCGCGGCCGCCGCCGCCGTAAAACCCGCGGCCAGTTCCTGTCGGCCCCTACGACACTTCCTCCCTTGGCGGCCGCGCCTGGCGACGGCGGGGCGGGACCGGCGCCCGCTGAGGGGAACCGGGCGGGGGCACCGGGACGGAACCGGCGGGGTGGGAATGGCCCGCTGAGGTCCCGGAGCCCCGCCGATGGCTGAGTGATGCGCCTCTCCTCTCAGCCCAGATATACGGGGCCTTGAGGGGAGGCGGATCAGGAGATGGGCAAAGATACAAGAGAGGCTCCAATTCCCCGATGTGGTTCTCCAAGCTGTTTAATCCATGAGATGAGGGGGAAAGAGAGCGAAAAGGAAGGGACATGGCCTTATCTAGGCTCTGGACAGGGAGGGCTTTCTGGTGTTACAGTGGGCTCGGGCTGTGCCTTTCCCCATCCCCGGGACCCCCGGGACTCTGATCAAGACAAGCCTGGTCCTCTCCAGGGCTGGCGGAGAGCTAGAGAAACCTTCCCTGTCCAGAGCATAGATAAAGTGATGACCCTTCCTGTTTGCTCTCTTTCCTCCCCACTCTTTCCCCTGGACCTCATGGAATAAAGAGCTGGAAATCTACATCGGGGTGAGAGCTTTTGGAATCTTTGCCCATCTCCTGATGTTCCTCCCCTCAAGGCCTCGTATCTCTGGGCTAGCCTGATAAGAGAGGGAGAAATGTCATCCGTCAATCCCATCAGAGCAGTGTTGGAACTCAAAATGTCCCTCAGACATTTTCAGAGGTTCCAGACCCAGGTCAGAAGCATTTTAGACCCTGGCAAGCAGCTGAAAACAGCTGTGATCTTGAGTTTGAGCCATGGAATGAATTACCAACTTTGAAGGTGGAACAAGCGGTCACAGAGGGTTAGATGCTATAGTAAAAGTAGTCACAAATTAGAGGGGAAAATTTTTTAGTATTGTACAGGGGGGTTTTAACACCTGTACAGGGGGGTTTTACTTTGTACATGGGGGTAAGGAGTTCTAAGATGGAGGAAAGTGGGCCTGATCCTGTTCTTCCTCCTTCTTCTTCCTTACCTCCATGTTCTTGGTGATGTTGGCACTCACAGATTGGTTTAGAGTAGAAGAGCACATTGTAACATAGATAGTAGGTATTGGGGAAAATCTGTAAACATATAATACGTAATATATCATATAAAAGATAGCAGCAGCCTTGGGAGGGGAGAGAGACGACAGAGACACCGGACAGTGACGGTGTCAGAAGTGTGTGTGTGCCTCTGCCTGGGCAGCTGACCTAGGCAGCCGCAGCAGGCGAGGACAATCTTTTAGATAACGAGCAATAAACTGCCTTGAGACCGAACCACAAGAGGCTGCAGAGTTTTTCTTTGGAAGCACGGGTTGGAGGAGAGACTTTTCCACCACATCCCTGGGCAGTCCATTCCAATGTCTAATCACCCTTCCAGTGAAGAAATTCTTCCTGGCATCTAACCTAACCATCCCCTGGCACATCTGAGGAGTATGTCCTGTTGTCCTGTCCCTGTTCCCTGGGAGCAGAGCCCAACCTGGGGCTGTCCCCTCCTGTCAGGAGCTGTGCAAAGCCACAAGGTCCCTCCTGAGCCTCCTTTTCTCGCTCAGCTGCTCCTCATCAAACTTGTGCTCCAGACCCTTCCCTGGACTTGTTCCAGTCCCTAAATGTCCTTCCTGGATTGTGGGACCCAGGGCTGGCAGTGTGGCCTCAGCAGTGCCCAGCACAGGGGACAGCCACTCTCTGCCCACAAGGACATTCCCAGCTGTGTTTAGTCTGGGGACAGGAGCCAGAGGTGTTTTGGTGGCACTCTGTTGCAGATCAGAGCGAAGGAATTGTTGATTTTCCTTCCAGAAGCTGGATGAGGGAGGTCATTCCTGCCTGGATAAGCCTCGGGCTGCGTTGTGTGACTGGTAACAATGGAAATTCAGCAAGGCTGAAAGACTCTCAAGTCATGTCTGCTGCTCTTCTGCCTCAAATAAATTATTTTAAGAGTGCTACTGGATACCACAGCAAAAAACAAGTCCTTTAGATGTGAATATTATATTAATTGCACACAAGACCCCTCAAAATGCAGAGAAATTGTGGGGTTTTTTTTCTTTTCTCACATGAAGCTTTGCAGGCCCCTCATAAGCCTTGCTCATTTTCGTTTACTACAGTTATTTTTCGAGGAAGTGACAGGTCTGGGCTTAAAAGTAAAATCCAGGAACTGCTCTACATGTCCTAACAGGATTCTTTAATTAGGAAGAATAAATAGTGTGGGGTTACAGCCTCCTGTTTACTAAGTGGTTAACGCTGAAGTAAAGTGGGAAAAGAGTAGAAGACCTGTTGGAAATTGAGGGAATTAAAGGCTTCTATTCAAAGTAATTACTTATAGAAATACTGAAATTTTGAGAAAGAAATTGATATCTGAATCCTTTTATATTTATTTATTCTTTTCCAAGTCTCTTTTGTCCCATCCCTGGAAGTGTCCAAGGCCAGGCTGGATGGGGTTTGGAGCAGCCTGCTCTAGTGGAAGGTGTCCCTGTCAATGGCAAGGGGGTTGGAACAAAATTATTTTTAAGGTCCTTTCCAACCCAAACCATTCTGTGGTTATTCTATGATTCAGAAAGGTTAATTCATCTTATCTCTATCCGTGTTGGCTTTGTGCTCTGCAGATCTGTTTTTAAACACTTCTGTCTGCTCCACAGAGGTGCTCACATACAAAACTGTGCTCAAAGGTTTCATTTTTATTTTTGTGTGTGTGTTATCAGGCACCAAAGGACCCTTGTGGGCCCGATGGAATTGCTCTGGCACAAGTTCACTGGCCTGGGGTAGCTTAAACAGAAAGAGCAAACAAATATCAGGGCAGGACTGGCCCAAATTCTGCTCTCACTTGCCATGTAGCTGCTATGGGACTGGGAGAGTCAGAGCCACGTGTTGGGGTGATGTCTGTGTGAAGAAGACAGTCCAGGCCAGGAAACATTGTTAGAGAGGGTGAAGATGATCTAAATGATCATGAAAGCCTGGTCTGCTGGAAGGTGTTCTTGTCATAGCATGGGGGTTGGAATAAAAAGATCTTAAGGGCCCCTTGCAACACAAACCATTCCATGGTTCTATGATTCTGTAGCTACTGCTGAGTTATGCTCAAATTCCTACTTTGCTTAAGGCTGTCTTAATTCTCCCCTCTGTTATGAAAACAGCTGCTTTGAAAGTGCACGTTCTCAGCCAGAACCCACACCTTTTTATTCCCCCCCCTAATTCTATTTACATTTTGCTCCTTAGTTCTCCTCTCACTGCTTTTTGAACATCCCTCAGCTGTGAGCACACTGCCCACCACAAACCACATGTTCTGTGGCAGGGATGGGGCTCAGACACAGACCTTGTTGTTTGTCATTCTTTGTTCAGTAACTCTGCGACCTTGGAGGTATCCATGGTTAATTTGTTAAGAAAACAGCAACTTAACAAACTTTGGAAACTTAGTTCCAATATCTGTGTGAAGAAAGGGAGTTGCTGGTGGCATTCCTCTTCTCTTCAATGCTTAAAGCAAGTACCTATGCTTTGATTTAGTTTCACAGTTGCTCTCAAGGTATTATTATAGTAGAAAATGGGCATCTAAACTTGCCTTTATTCCCTGTGGTAACAAGGTGACTTCCCAGCTGCACCAGAAATAAGGATGCTGGGACAAAATATCGAGCTGTACTTAGTTTGGACAATAAAATATAGGAGAAGGTCAGTGCTTAATAAAAAAATTGTTGGTTTTTATCTCAAAGAAGAGGAAGTATTTGACATGAGTGTGTGACATGGAAGTAGAACCGAAAAGTTCTCTGTTGTTCTTCACTTATTAACAAACATTCTTTTGAAAAGTTACTCCTAATGTTGACTGCATTATTTGAGCTCTGAGCACACCAGCAAAACAGTAATTAAGTCTATTTTTCCTTTCCACCTGTCCAAATAAAAATAAATTTTATGTTTTGGAATCTGCTTTTTCACATGGGCAGATAAAAGTTTTTTTGTGGGACTGGCTATGGCCCTGAGGGCGTTCCCCATCCTGAGGTTCGCCCATTTGGGGTCAAGGTCAACTTTGAGATTGATGCCTTGTGAAGGCTGCCCTAGAACAGAGGCTGTAGAGAGTTAAAGAATAAAATAGGGATTTATTAAAAGGATCTCCTCCATGGATCCACCTTGGGCAACACAAGAGCCCAAGAGCCAAGGCTACACTCAAAATGAACCAAAATGGTCACAAAATGGACAGCTGGTCACTGGGTTTCACACTTTTATAAGTTCTGCTCCATTTGCACCTTGGAGTTCATTGTCCCATTCCAGCTTCAGCCCAGGCAGTCCCACCCTGCTTGTTTTTCTCTTTCCAGCCCACGGTGTTTGTGCTCTTGGCCTGGGATTTGGATCATTTGTCCTTGGTGCCCAGCTGGAGCAGGAATTGTTATGTCTCCCTGCTCTGTGAAGAGAGCTCACCATCCCCTAAGATGAATCTCAGAATTACACACTAAAGCAGCACAGAATCAAGAAAATATAAAAGCTAAAACTTGAGGCATCAAGATAGGTCCAGCATGACATTCCTGCTTCATCCTGTGCTTCCCCATGGACTTATTGGGCTGTCTGGGCTCAGCTGAGCCTGGTCACTGTCACCAAGGTGTCTCTGCTTGCTTTGCTCAGGTGTGTTTGGTTGTGCTGTGACAGCCAGGCCACCCTGGTGTCCTCACCTCTTCCACCCATCCCACCTCACTGCCATGCTCAGTTTCCAGCTTCCCTTCCCTTCTGGAGCAGTGTCCAGCTCTGCCATTTCCTGAGAGCAAGCCCACACCTCACCATGGTGAGCAGGAATGTGCTGATTCCTTTTTTTGTAATGCTTTCAAAATTTAGAGACAGGCACTGTGTGGGCAAAGATGCTGTCATTCAACTGAAGCAGCCTGGCTCTGGTCCTCTGCAGCTCCAATAAATACAAGGGAATAGCAAAGATACCTGCAGGTCTGAAATTTCTGCCCTGAACTCTGCATTTAGAGAGGAAATGCAATGTGTGCTGGCAGAGGTGG